AGAATTGGTTGGATATAAAACATACATAACAACCTTTAGGGTGTGGTCAACCACTCCCAAGTCATCAGAATCATATACATATACATAGAACTCGTATATGGGCAGGCTTAAGGAGTTAAATATCTTAAATATATTTATACAGGCGAACTTAAGGGGTAAAGGGGCAAATATTTTTTTATTGGCAAAATAAAGGACTTAGATTTTAAGGGCAAACCTACCTTTAAGAATGATAGATATATGAACTGAACTGTACTCTTACAATATATTTATTTACATCAACAACATTTTTGTGATATTCTTATACAGAGGATAATCAATAATAATTTGAATTTTCTGATCTGCTTTTTTTTATTCGAGCAATTACCGAATAGCCCTCGTATAGTGAAATTTTTCTTTTAAAAATTTCAAACCCGTAACTTCCTCGTCAATTTGCTGAAAATAAAAGTTAAAAGCATCGCATTTGCGCCGCGACCATGTACCAAGAACAACAGCGAAAAAAAAAAGAAGACGAACAAAAACACAAACAAAAAGAGTCTCAAAGGAATCCTCTTGGAGTTGCAAGCAGCAAATCCGTAAGTAGTTATTTTCGCTAAGAAAGAAAATAACTCTCATTGACAGAAGACACAATTTGCTCAATACTGGTACAATAACATTAATTAAACGGACAATTCAGCGCCCACAAACATTGTCTGAAATAATTCCGGAGTAAAATATCTCTGGCTGATAGATCTTGTTCTCTTGACAAAGGCAAGCTCGTGTACATCGTCCCTACAATTGCAGTCGCGGCCGTAAAAACACTAAAACTTTAGTACGGTCAATTTTTATAATTTTTTTACTTTTGAGACCGGAACTGTAAATTACATACTAACGATTTACTCGATCTAACTCTCCGAGCAATTACTACTAGAGGGAGTCTTCCACCCTTCCCCGCGCTAAATTTTGTTAGCAACATCTACTCCCCCCGAGGGGGAAAATACCTCTTCTGTAATTGGTTTATTTAATCAGCGTTGCCAAGTTTGACAGCGCCATTTCTGACACTTTCTGATACATGTCAATTTCTTATTTGTATTTTACGGAAAATATTATTATTTAAACGTTGTAAATGTATATTTAAGATTTATTATCTCTAATAGTATGGTGAAAACATGCTTTATGTGTAAAAGAACTGTTGAAAATGCTTCTTCAAGATAATATCATAAGTAAGTACAGACACAACCTAATTATCAGAGGCGGTGCATTAGGCAATCACCTTTAATTTGCAATTAAACTTTCTTATTTTCTTATCGAAAAATTAAAATTAAGAGCAAGTAAACTCCAGCTAAGTTCGTCTTCATCCGTCTCATAATGATTATAGTAAAGGTTAATTACTCATTATTATTTTAATATCACATCTTTGTAAAGTTTATTATTTTTTTTAGGTTTCCTTTTCTTGATATGAGAAAGAAATACATGGTTCCAAAATATAGGAATTCAACAAGTGACCACCTGAATAACTTTTTATGATAATGAACATTTTTATTACAGAACTCAAGGGAGGAAAATATTAAAGAAAAATGAAATTTCGACGAAAGAAGTATAATAATCAATCCTGTCACTACTTCTATACTATATTCATCTGCTACTAAAATACTAAAACAGCAAGTAAGTAGAGAAACTTAAGTTTCTTTCAAAAAGAATGTTTAAGGAAAAAGGCATAGCCAAGTTAAAACCTATTAGGACATCCTAAAATGACTTTTTTCCTTTGATGTGAGATTAATTATTCTACATTTTTGTTGGTGAAATAGGATATATTAAGATGTCTTACTGTTTTCTCTGATTATCTAAAAAGTTAGAACAATATACAAAGACTGTTATAACAAAAAAGAGATATATACCTTTACTTAAACACACAATTAGTCAGTTCAATTGTATGATAATTTAAAGCAGAAATCCAGAAAACTTTAAAAATGTGTTTAAATGTGTTTTTACTATAACAAGGACATAATTATTAAAAAAACTTGGCACATTAACATTGAAGATAGGTTTTTATAATATATATTATACAAATCACAACGAACTACACAAAATAAAATTATTAATAGTTTAGCAATAAAAAAGTTAAGTACAATGATGACATTAAAAGTTGAGTTTCTCGAAATACTTTTTTTGAATTGTCTCAGTACCTACCTAGTATTTTTCTAGCACAATGATATTATATGAATGTGCATTGTGTGAATCTTATATTTTAGGAATAAAATGATATATTTTTTGCAGGTTTCTGTTAACAACGATTCCAAGAACTTTTAAAAATATTATTAAAACGGCCTTTGCAAATATAATTCTCAATTAAGAGCTTTTGATCTAACATTAAATTTTTATTCTCCATAAGGTTACAGCTTCCTAAGAAGAAAGTTTATCAAGACTTACCTGACCCAAAATATCAAAATTTTACCAACCAATTGATGGTTCTACTGGTTTTCATAGGAAAATTCTCGAAACTACTAAAAAAAGTGACAGAGGCAACCGAAGAAGGCAAAAAAGTCTTTTTTGCAAAACAAAAACTAAAAATTTGTTAAGGAATCTAATTATTGTTTGAAGTTTTACCATTAATAATTTTTGATAACGATTTAAGATTATGAAGTTCTATTATGTATTTTACTCTTTGATAACCTATGTTTAAATTTTTATTAGGACTAAAATAAATTATAATTTTCATTTCAACTACAAAAACCCTCATAATATTAAAAAGAGGAAAAACGTTAGATTAGTTATGTTCAGGAGTAAACTCTTTAAACATATCTACTTAAAATGTGTTACTTTTAGAAGGTATGTTATTAACTTTCTATTTGTACTTGTATTAATTTATTTCATTTTATCTGTTGTATTTTCAAATTGATTTTGATATTAATCTTATCTATTTATATATTTTTTATATTTACATATATGTTTTTTTCATTAAAACAAACGTTTATTAGCTTAATAAATATAATGAATTCATGTTGTTTTATTATATGCTTGTATGAATGATTACTTTTATCTCCTTTTAAAAATGAATTTCGAAGATAAAGCCGAAACGGTGAGTGAGAAAAAATTAGACGAAAGTGATGATATTTACTGGAGCTTTCATCTACACGCCCCTTTTTCTAGCCATCTACACCTGAGCCAGCAAGATTCGTCTTCCCTCCATCCTTACATTCTCCAGATTTACAGAGAAAACGCCGTCCTCTTTAACATATCCAGACCTTCTTTGACGGGGACTATACCACTACATTATCAGCTTTATTTGTTATCCCGAGCAATTTAAATGCATTCGTAATTGCTCATTCTCACCTCTTCTCTTGTAGATTCCGTACTCAGTTTTCTTATTTTTAGTTACGTTTGCACTGCTCTTTTATTTTCACAGCTTTAATTCTATAATGCTGTAACGCTACAATATGGAACCATTTTTGTGGTTTATACTATTTAATGTTATTCGTAAGTGACCAACCTATTATAATAATTAAAGATTATTGAATTACAGGCCTGAAGATGTTCCTGTAAGGCCGAAACTAGTCGCTCCTGTATTTATTTATAATAAAATTGATTTTAAGGTTTTATTCTTCAATTGAAAAAATTATACCTTTACAAAGATTTTGTTTCAGTTCCTGCATTACACATATAAGACGGTATTCATTTTAAAAATAGTAAAATTAGCAAATTTTTTGGTTTTTTTTACAATTAAAACGTTTGGACAATGTGTGTGTTTTTATAGATAAATGATACGCCACTGAACAAGAAGGATGTTTACCTTCCCCCTTGTGCCCACTTCCTCACTTCCTCTACAGATGTTGCTAACACAACAATCGCCTACAAACTCGTTTTCACGCTCCCTCTATTAGTAATTGCTCGGAGATCTAACTAACCAGTTGGAAGGTAATGGAGGAGATATCAAACGAGCAGAGACCATTGAAATTTGGAACGAGGACTGCATATCGAGCACCTGTCACTTAGTTGAAAATAAGTAAAAATAAAGTGCAATTAACTTTTTACAAATTATGATAGCTAGAAATTCAATATTTTTAGTTGGTTTTGAAACTAGTAAAATCAGTGAGCGTAAACTTACAACAAAACGACAAATATTAAATTTATTCTTTTATAAACATAAGTCCCCACCTAACTATTCGGAATAGTGCTACAGAAGTCGCCAAGGACGTATTAAAAATATGGAGTGATTTTGATATTCCTTCAATTAAACTATTTTATGTTGTGGGCAAAATTGAATGTTTATTCCGGGAATGGAAAAATCTTTTGAAATCCCGAAAAAATAAAACTATATTGCAAAAAAAGTTCTTTAATATTTCTAAGAAATCATCAGTACAATTCTTAACTGGACAAAAAACTTTGTTAAACGAAGATACACGACTTCGACGTTCAACTGCAAAGTATGCTCTGCAAGTAAGTTGTTTCTTTTCATTCCTCACCTGAACATGAGCTGTTTCATTATTTTCCAATGACTTAAAACGATTCGCTTCAGATTTAGAAGATTCCTATCTTGAAAATCAGTAGTGAGTGCTCTCGATCGAACTAATACTAGCAGTAGAAGCGCAGTATATATTATAACTGCCTTCTCTGAGTTATTAGAAGTGTCTGTTGGTGATACTAATTTAAGCTACAGTACCATTTGAAGGCGTCAATTAGAAGCTAGAAAAGATATTGTAGATGATTTGAAAGACAAAATCCAATGTCCGAACAATCTTTTCCTTCATTTGGATACGAAATTTCTTGTTGACGTTTGTGGATATGATAAAGTTGGTAGTCTTGCAGTTGTTGTATTTGGCTCAAATTACTCAACATACCAAAAATCGAAAGCGGGACAGGAGAGCAACAAACTTTGTCCATAATTGACTCATTAGATGACTGGGGTATTGCAGACGCGATAAAAGGCTTATGCTTCGATACAACGGCTTCCAATACAGGTGAACGAAACTTGGGTTAAAGTTTGACTGTTTTTTGGTTTTAATTTATTACGTTTATTATTATAGGACCGCACAGTGGTGCATGTGTGATATTGGAACGTATACTTGAAAAGAAATTTCTTTATTTTCCTTGCCGACATCATGTTTATGAATTAGTTCTTCAGAAAGCATGTCAAACATGTTTATCTGCAACGTCAGGTTCAAATGTTTCTACGTTTGAACGATTCCGGCAAACTTGGAAAAATATTGATCAAAGTAATCACATAACTGGATTGGACAATGAAATCATACGTGATAAAGTCATGGACAAAAGAGATGCTGTATTCCCATTTATTTCCGAATAACTCAATGTATAAACTATTTTTGATTAATTAATTAGTTCCAGTCAATTCGAGCTTTCAACCGTTTAAGTTCTTAAAAACATGATTTATTGAACTTTTTCAGGAACACCATCATCGAGATGATTATAAAGAATTCTTGGAATATATTTTTAAATGGTGCGCAAACTTATCATATCACATTTAAAGCTCCTGGAGTAACTCATCATGCGAGATGGATGTCCAAAGCCAATGGAAAAGACGTATGAGTACAAAATAGAATTATAAATGCTTTTTATTCATTTTAAACAAGCCTTTGACTCAATAAAAAGAGCAAAGTTGCAGTTGGCCCTACAAAAATTAACTTGACTTGACAGTAGATTTTTCCAGTACAATTATTATTAGGTCAATCTAATGTGTCAAAATTTCTACCTAAAGAATCTATACTATACTCTAAATATTTTTCTTTTCGAATATAGGATTTGTACATGAGTAATAGATACATTCATTGAGATAGGTATGTTGTTAAATTTATTAACAAATTTATAGTTAATTTTATTTTTCACCTGCCAAACCCGAAAATTGCACTTTTAATATGACCACAGAATAAGTAATATCACTGTGATAAAACATTCTCCGGCCATAAGTATCGAGAGTGAGCGAAAGAACATTGAGTCGAGCAAACATCGGCGGTACGAAACGTCAATACTGCCAGGTAGCCAGTTCGGTAATTAACTGGCATTGTTCAGATAAGCCAAGAGCAGACCGTGATGCAGCCAAGATATCAGCGCTGTCAAGATCCAAGGACCGATGATCGTCAAGTCGTTCGGAACTTCGATAAGCCAATACAAAAAACAACAATAATAGTTTATATACGATGTAGATAAGCTTTGAATGGGCTTGTGATTGACCGTTTCGGATAAAAAAAAACTAACTGGTTTGATTGGAAAGCGATTCGAGATCGGCACACTTAGAATCAAAGTTTTGTTAAAAAATGTTCTAATCAATTAATGATAAAAAAAAGTTTGAAAGAACAGGCTTGGGTTATACCTGGTGCAAGTTTTAAGACACCAAATAGGTAAGGGTTGAAGGATCTACGGTAAGAATGGGTGAAAATAAAATTACTACGAATAAAAATCTTCAAAATGGTTCATAATCAGATGATTTCATCAAACAGTTCACAACATTCAGATATGTGTAACTATTCCCAACCACGTACAGCTTTTCAGTGTCGCTGCAGTCGAGTGGTGAAGTGGAAGGTAGGAGTGTAATAAATATCCTCTAAGATTTATATAAATAATTAGGAAACTGAAATTACTAGGCTTTAAATTCGACTCACCTTGTCCAAATAACCGAAAAAAGGTAAAACGTTATTTAGGTTGCTGTTATAATCTTTTAAACTTTATTTTTTTGAAAACTAACGATGCCATTTTTATCATTTAATTTATCTTATCAATAGATTGGAATGTAATAATTTATTCGTAGTACTTAAGTTGTATAATAATCCTTTCTAATGGCAGTTGGCGCCCTTGAATTTATCTACTATTTCCAGAATTTTTATAGCCATCCACCCACTAGCTACCACCTGAAGGTTAACTGTGGAACAACCGAAACTTATGTAACCACAGTAGATAAAAATTTTATTAGTAAAGTTTTTTTTTAAATTAATTTTTAGAAAATTTTCCATCTGGAATTTGCTTAGTACATTAAGTATATTAACTATATTAACATTATGAATTATTAATAGTTAATCTTTCTTATAAACTATTTTTTTTTTGTTTCAAAATAACACATTTTCCCATGTAAATATATATATGTAAATTGTCTCAGTGTACGTTCTCTATATAACAAAAATAATACAAACCCAATCTTGGCTTGTCGCATACTAAAATGGTAGAGAATGTAAGAATGTAGGTTTGAAAGAAGTAAATTGCGTACTTTTCTTTTCTTGTGATTCTTGAAAGTGTACCTTGTTTTATTATTCTAACTCAGAAGAAACGAAGGGATGAGTCATAAACGTATCTGAGTTTTTTATAAAAAAGTATTTTTAGAGAAAGTATTTAAAAATAGAATATGGAACATAGTTTCACTATTTAGTTTAAATTTAATTTTATTATTCAATTTATTAAATTATTAACAAAACCAAGAAAGGAGTAAAGGAGAGGAAATTATGGAAATTCAAAACTGCAGCAACTATATAAAAAATTTAGGAACAAACAGTTTGTTCTACTCTAGCTTTATTGGGCTTGACATATACTGCCTTCGATCATGGTGGACTGTATTCGAAATAGATTACCTGGGGTGAAGGCCTTATGCTCCACCCTGTAGCCTCTGGAAGATATTCTTGAAGTTGTAGTTGAAGCACTGGGTGTATTAAAATAAAATCATCACCCTACATTTGATTTTGATTTATCCACTGCTTGATACTTTCACATTTACAACTTTGTTACATAAAGTTATTGATAATTTACATATTAGCTTTTATAAATCAAATCGCACAATGCTTGGAATTGATTACCGCGAATGCCGGCTTTTTAGGTTAAAGTTTTTGCGACTTGTTGCTTGTTCGACTGACAAAGCGAAAGTTATTTTTAGTTTTGTGCTGCCGTTGTTCGTCAACTCGCACCGGCTTACCGGCTTTTCTCTAATTGGTTCTCTAGTCTCGTATGATTGCACGCGAGACTATTGTTTTTAAGATCTGTCTTATGATTGGTTGAAAAATCTCGTGTGACTAGCTTTAACTGTTCGCGAAGTAGCAGGTGTCTTTGAAGGTTACTTGAAAGTTAAACGGGTGGTTATTGCACAACTTTGGATAATTGGTTTATACAGGGAGTGTCTATTTAGTATTTTATTCTTTTTTTGTTTGTTAAATGCTGATTTAGATTAATCTGCCATGCAGATAGGACATATTGAATGTAATTTCAACACAGTTTTTAAACAATTTTTTTTTATTAAAAATGTCAAACAATACATGTATATTTAAGATAAAGGATGAACTATATTTAATTGATTCATAAACTAATAGACATTTTGGTGCTTGCGATTTTTTAACTGTTCCTTGGTAATTTTTGGGTGCAGAATCCAAAATAGCCATCTAGTCTTTAAGATAGGCAATATTTACTATTTTTTACTTTACAACTATTACTACTGTCATTTAAAAAGTACCTAGTAATTAAGTATTTATTACGAAAAGTAGATTGACATACATTCATTGGATAAATACCTTTTGAAAATTTTCATGAGTGCGACTCTGTCAAAAGAGGACCTGACTGTATAGGAAACAGCATCGGAGACGGGTCGTAGGATAGGAAAAATGCAATTTTCTCGGCATTTTGGAGTTATTTTTCCTTTGAAGAAGTGTCGGCACTTACGCAACACGTTGCGACAGTCAAACATAATCGATTCAAAAAAAAAAAGAAAAGCGTCTTTTCTTTTACGGGAATAAACTGACTGGCACTAACAGAACTCCTACGCTTTGTTTCTCCTCTAACAATGCTAAAGAGGTTCTAGAATGCAAACTCCGAAGCTATTCCGCTTCAATGCACGTACAGGTTTAGAATGATTTAAATTTATAATTTACAGAGTGTTATTCTAAGCCGAATAAATATTAGAGTTTTGGGTTTATAAATGCATGGTATTGGGTCCATCGGATCATTTATAATTTGACTTTTTGGGGGTTGGGCAGTTACTTCTTGTTTCTGTTCAACGTTCTTTATTGTAGAGTTTGTATTTTGAATGTTCCTTACTTGTGGGAGTGTTCTCATGTCTTCCTTTGATTTGGTGATTATTATTTGATCAAAAACTATGTCATTGCATCGCTGACTTTCTCCAGATTTTCGCTACGAGTCACCAAACTGGAGTCGCCCTAGTTTTCTTCCGGGATGACCCTACATCCATTCTTTAAGCTTGGTAATAGAAGGTTTTTAATGACTGGTATGCAGATGCAGGTACAACAAAATAACATAATTTGCTTCAGCTGTTTCTAAAAGTTCAACACAAGAACAGAATTAACCAGATCTTTCTTTCGTTATTAGCGTCGTAAAAAATGATTTGTAAACCAATTTAAAAATATTGTTGATGTTACGTAGACTGATTTCTGAGACATGACACTATCTGCACCAGGTGACATTAAATCAGTCTACTCGTTCTTTAGGTTTTCGCCCTTAAATACGCATACTGGTGTAAGAAAAGAGCCCTCGGCATTACATGAAATTGTCTTATCCTGTAACAACGTCTTTTGCTCCATTTGCTGCTAAAACATGACCCTGGTCGATTGTTTAGTTGAAGACCTGTTTCGTCGACATTATAGGTTTCATAAATTTCTTCCAGTGTATTTTGCAGAAGTTTGAAGTAATTACCTACGTCTACACGGTTCATGCCCTCACCTAGCCCTAGGGACACACCTTCAGCTTTCCAAATAGACAAGTGAAAAAGGACATGAACCAATCAGAACCAGCAATTCTTTTTTCGTTATTAAACTTATGATTAATTTATAGACTTTCAGCGAAATTAGGGACAGGGTACCGTCATAGGAAAACCGTATTTATCAATGTTTATTGTCTGAGAGGACATACAGCGCCATCTGACTTTATTTAAATTATTTTGATTCTGACTGAGATGTGTATAATTCCAATAGGAAACATTAAAATTAAAATTTGTAATTTATATCTCTGAAACTCTACTACTTGCCGTATCTATCTACACTGTTGTTGCTTTATTAATAATTAAACATAGTTCTTGAATTATCGTCTAACCCTATCCACCCCTAAAGTATATATGCGTTAACTTTCCAACCCCCTAATGTAGTTTACCGTTCGAGACTTGACAAAAGTAATAAACAAGAAGATACAGGTTCGGTGTTACGTTCATTCGTTGTTCGTTTTTCATTAAAATTAACTTCTTGAGCTGCGGTATTTCTTGAAGTTAGATGAATTTTTTATGGTAATGCCTGCGAGTTTAAAACAATAAGTTTGCTGCTTCTATTCCTCGAAATTATACAGAAGTTGAGTTACGGCATCGCGCTCCGC